ATGTGTATTTGTCATAGAATGGCAGGAAGATAAATAGCGTTGCTGTGTTTCTTTTGTAGTTATGGGAGCATGTCTTCATGTATTACATGTGCTACATATACTAGTACATTTCCATTCATTTTACATGTACCATCCACATGTCAGGGTTGGCTTTTTTTTTTTAAATTTGGCTTAACTCAGGTGAGTCCTCTAGTGGAGAAATACAGCAACAGGAGAAAAAAAAAAATCTGGAAAATTTGGTGACATTGCCGCACCACCTCATGGAGCAGCATTTGCTCTGACAAAACACGCTGCTTTTGGACTGGGTTTGTCAACGTGTGATTTATTCCCCCCCCCCGTATAAGCTGTAGGTAAGGTGATGAGGTGCTTTTTGTGTACATGCTGTTAATGTGGGAGATGCATTATGCTGTGCAGACACTGTAAATGCGGACCAGGACAGAAAGGTAGCAAATCTGATCTAACACCGAGACAGGAATAAACTGACTACTCTGAAAGGAGGCCATGGAGTGCTGCCTGGTGGAAGGGGTATTTGGTTCCTAGGACCTGAGCACAGAGACTCAGGGATAAGCTTTTAGCTGCAAGGTGCTTCCAATGAGCATCGATACACTCAGGACTTAACATCCGCAACCTTTGCCTCTTTGAAGTTTGACACTCTAGCGTATTCTTTCCTGATAGATGTATCTTAAGGTGGTTTCTAGCTCTGTGATTATCTTAAAACACTTAAGTTTTGGTTCAGGTGTACTGCTGTTTTTAACCTACCCTTGTTGTAACTCTAAAATTTAGAGAGTCTGTCTCTAAATGCTGTTTTTTTTGTTGCTGTTGACAGTACACCAGATCTAGGTGGTTTTTTTGTGTTCCAGTATCTTGCTACTGCTGCCTGTCTTGTGTAATGAGAACACCTGAAGAAGATTTCTGTAGTGGTTCTATGCTACATGGTGCTGCTGAATCCTGGCAGAGGGGTTGCTCTAATGGCCCCCATAGCGGTGCATGATCTCAACCATAATGCTAACTTAAATTAGTGAAAACATGGAGACCTGAATACGGGGATAATGAAACAGCCTGAAATTAGAGTGACTACATAACTTCTACCTGTAGAAGTTGGAGGGATTGTATACAGTCCTGAATAAATCACACTGCTTCTTAATGCTAGTGCTTCCTGATGAAGCTACCCTGGGCAGGTGTTTGCTGTCCTGCCATGTCAGTCCCTCTGTGCGGTGGCTGTGTGCTCCGGTGCCTACTTTCATCTCAGGCTTGAGCAAGTACTGACTCTTCTCTCGGTGTCTGTGGCATCCTTCCTCATTTCCAATGCTCTCCTGCCTTGTGGAAGAAAGCAAGCCCCTGCCTCCTGGCTTTCTTGCGCTTCAGGGCTGTCGTTAACTCCTGTGAGCTCCTGGGCAGCTTGAGCACAAACCTTCTCAGAGCTACAGTCTGGCAGACTTTCGTGGCTCTCTTCAGAGGCAAACTTTGTGATTCTGGGGGGTTCCCCCCACCCACAATTGTTTTTAATAGTTACCTTGGCTTTTTCATAGACCTAGGCAGAATAAATCCCTCAGATTAATTTTTGTGGCTTTAAACTCCGTTGCTCCCTAGCACTGCTTGTGTTCAAGTCGGGGATCCCTCCTCACCCTTCTCTTGCATGTGGCTTCTGTTGTGAACCATGGAGTGTACTGTGCAAGCTGGCCTCCTTCCTACTCAGCTAGCCTTGATGTGGCTACAGGGTGAGCGTGACCCCTCCATCCTGCCTGATGCTCCCAAGCCCCCCCACTTCTTGGTTGGCTTCCTCAGGGCCTCTTCAGCTTTCCTTTTGTGCCTTGAAAATGCAATGCCCGAGAGCTTGGTGGGCCAAGGGGGAGAACTTTTACTTTCAAACTTTGTCACCAGTTGTCTGCATGTACTTTTCGCAGAAGCTCCTGGCTTCGTTCTGAAGTCAGAGCTGAGCAGCCATTACCTGTCCTGCTTTGTAGGTAGCGTGTGATCAGGTGATTGACTTGCGCTAGAAATACCGTATTTGCAAATTGCCAGTGGGCAGAGCCCTTGATCAGCAGAGACCCCAGTCAGTGACTCTTAGGAAAACAATAATAAAAAACACCCCTAAAAGCATTCACAAAATAAATAAAAAACCCTACTTCTCTGTGGTATTGCTGTATTTCAAGAGCAGCTGCAGTGGGGGACTTGGATTGTCTGTGTGTAAGCATATGGAGGAGATGCTTTGGGAAAAGAAAGGTCAGTGAAGTGACTGGAATTTAGGATGAAAATAATGAATTTTGCCCACGTGTGTGGCTTTCTACGCTCCAACACGCAAATAACAAATAGTATGGTGGTGAGCTTGGGGAGTTTGATGGCAGATTTGTTATCAGTAGCGCACAGATTATGTAAACAACATGTTACCTACCCTCCAGAGCCTGAGTCAAAGACTACAGCTGGTAGAGGTGCAAAATGAAGACACAGCTGTTCATGCTCTAAACTTTACTATTCATAGCAAAAGATGAATTTCTAATTATTTCTAACTTTCTCCCAGGAGAGTCATCTTCGGCTTTCAGCGGGGGGATTATGGCAGAGCAGACCTGCTAGTGAATTAGCAGGACTTGCTGCTTGCTGGAGAAAGGAGAGCTCTTCAGGGAGGCTTCCTCTTCCTACCCTTCTCTTCCTGCCAAAACTCCCTTGAGAACCTGGGGAAGGAAGTTGGGGGGGCGGGTGGTGGGGGGAAAGGGAAGGAAGAGCTGGAAATGGCTTCCTATTGCTCTGATGCTGTTTTGCAGGCTGACCACAGGGCGGCAATGCGAGACACCCTCCAAGGAAAATTGGCAGCCTGGGGAACCTAGGACAGACAGAGAAGGTGGTGGTATTCCCATGCTGTTCTTGCTGCTGCTCGACTCTTGCGAGCTGGGACACCCGTCTTCAACAAAACAACTTTGTAACTGGAACTGAAGTGAATGGACAGTTTGAAAATGCTTTATATTGGAGTATTTCACTAAAAATGAGGAAGCATATTGATATTTTATTAGCAGCATGCTCTTCTCCCCCACTTCACCTGTAACGAAGGACAAGTGCATAGTATGTGTCATAGTCTAAAATCTAATTACCTTGTTTCACCGAATACCCGGATGAGGGGACCCATCCACCCACCTCTGTAATACTGCAGTGAATCTGGGCTCTCAGTTTGACTGGCATGTTCACACAACGTAACTTGTCTTCAGCATGTTTGTTGCCTTTGGAGAGCGTTTCCATGTTTCAAAAATTCCCTACCTGCTGTGGAGATCGTTAGTTATTTTAGGAAAGCCAAAGTAATGGGCAGTAGTGTTGCTTGACATCTTGACTATTACACTTAATTGCTGTGTAGGCAGCTGCAGCAATTGGGCTTTTGATATCTTAGTTGCTAGGAAGAAGGGGAGGGGGGAGAATGAAGAGGGCAGTAGGCAGGCAGATACTGGTTTTATTTTCTTTCCTTTCTGGTGAACCTACCTGTACTTACAGTTGCATTGTACATCTTCCCCACCCCTCTCCCCTACTTAGCAGGTTAAAATTACACAAAAGTTTTTCTCTCTCTTCTTTGACTTTTTTTCAGTAGGCTGAAACAGGTCTTCTTCACAGTATTGTGCCTAGCAGGGAAAGACGCTTGTGTCGGGGGGGTGGTGCTGGAAAGCAGATCAAAGAGTTGGAACTAAAAGACAAGATTGGAAAACCACAAGATCTAGTGTTGACTCTCCTGTAGGAGTCCGCTTTTTGTTTTCTGCCTTAAGCATTTCCATAAGAATAATTGGATTTTGAAGCGTGTGATGCAGACAGCATTTGAGAGTGATACTGTCTTGGCTGACATTTGCCACTTTTCAATCTTAAGAATTGAGAGCGGTCCTCTTCTAACTTTCTGCCAAGCGTGGGATATGTGCCTGGCTTGGGTATGGGGGGAGGTAGAAGATTATTCTCTTCTAAAAATGGTTTAAGCCTTTTTATAGTGGATAGTTGTTAGCTAGGTGAATTTGCGAAGTTGTCCAAAGTGAGTACTAAGTCAATGGCAAGAATAAGAGACTCAAAAGCTTCTTGGTTTGTACAGGCTTCTGCAGGGTATCAAGTGATGTGCTTGAGTGAGTATATGTAATGGGATGCCCTGGTTAACTCTGCTGCTCTTGTTCCCTAAGCTGTAGAGCCGCAAGCCTGAGCGCTGAGGCAGGACTATGGGCAGGCCCTTGTGTCCCTGCTGGGACTGGCAGACTTCAGCAGAATTTGGCTAGCCGCTCTTCAGTGGGCGGGAATGGCGGCTTAACCTTTAAGATAAGACTTCTCCTCTTTGCCCCTGTTACCTACTTAGCAATATGCTCTTCTTGCTTGGCTGTATCTCTCCTCATTTGTTCACTGTGTGTATGTATACATGTGGGTGCCTCATATATGTGAACAAGGAGATGCTTGTAAACTTCAGCGTGAGAGCAGGTTGTCTATCCTTTAACTGTTGGGAAAGAAGGAAGGAGAACCTGTTGTGATAAAATAGCGTTATTGCTCTCCATTGTTGTAAAAACCTTCAACAGTGACTGACTTTTAAAGATGCCCTTTGTATCACTTAGAATAAGCTGTTAAATTAATTCAAGTATGAATGTGTGTATATGTTTGCTTTTTTCCAATACATCATACATACCATATTTTGTAACGATGGAAGTTCTTGCTTTCTTTACACATTCTTTCAGGAGCTGATTTCTCCAATTCCTTTGTTCCAGAGCAATTAATGCTGGCAGTTTCTACCCAAAACCCACTTCAGAGGTTGTTGATTATTGATCAAGTAACTTATCTTGCTTTTTGTCAGGCTCCAGCCAGAGCAAGGCTGCTAATTCTTTGAGCCAAAGCTGTCCAGACTTCCTCTGCTACAAGTCTCTGGCAATGTAAGAGTTGCTTATGTGGAAGCAGTTGCTCAATAGAGCTGTGTATACCAGCCTCTGTGCAGCTTATCCGAGGGCAGCAGGAACCACTGGGCACCAGGTTGTTCGCTTTGAAACTGCCTGCCCAGTGGAGTGGAAAATAAAAGGGAGAATAGATAGGCGAAATAAAACTATGTAGAAGTGGAACAGGAAAGATGGGAAGTAAAAAATATGGAAAGTAAGGCAAGACCTGTATAAGTGAAGGACCTGTACTGTGGGAGCACTAGTGCAAATACTGGTGCTGGAAATGAGATACTAAATAAAATGCATCACCCCTGGTGAGGAGAGGGGAGGGAAAGAAATAGATGGTGTAAAGGAAGGGTCATGAACCCTAGAAATAAGATTGTGAGGAACTAAATAGGAACTGTTGTTGTGCTGTTTCTCACATCTTTTCTTCCTAATCCTGGTTTGTCCACCTGCAGGCCAATCCTTTTGCTTCAGTTATGCACATATCTAAGGCATAATAATTAAAAACAAAGGTACACGCGGAGCATGGATACAGGAGGGGAACGTGTTCAGTGGAGTTGATGTGTTTTGAGACTACTAGAAAAATCAGTGTTTGGTGGCTTTTAAATATAGGTAATTACAAAGCTTGATAGAATAGCACTGGTTGTTTTATAACAAAGATAACTTATTTAAGCCTTGTTTTGGTGTCTTAAAATCTCCAAGAAGGATCAGAAATCTTGTAAGAGCACCCAGCAGACTAGGAAGCTTGAAGAGCCTCAAACTTAAATTCTAGGATTATGTATGCCCCTGAAACTTCTGTCTCGCCTTTCAATGAAATTTGTGATGCTTTATGTTCTTGAAAAGATTGTGGGCAGCCATAAAAGTGATGGGAACTGGGAGAAGTCCTAAATAAGCGTAATGATCTTGGTTTTAATTTTTTATTCTCCCTAGAAGTTCATGGAAGAATTTGTTTGGAGTATTTTACCCTGTTGCATGGAGACTGACACTTCCACTATTCCTTTGTCATTCCCCAAGTAACTTCTGAAGTCTATACTCTCCTAGACAAAATCCTCTTCAAATGGGCTGAACCAGCACATTTGTCTAGGCTAGGAGTACGCCACTTAACATTGGTTACTGCTGAATGGTGATAACCGCCAACTGGATCACATCTTTACCTTGCAGCTAAAGAAAATGGTCATCTTTGATAGAGATTTTGCAACAATTTCTGATGGTGTGCTTCTAATATGGTGATCGTGTTTGTCCACTATGTCCAGAAAACTTGATTATGTGGTCCCAAATCCTCTACAGAGAGCAAATACTTACATGTTTGCTTATTTTACCCATTCTCTTGCTGTTGCTGTTAGTGACTAAGTACTTCATCAAACTAATTCAGGTAAATAGTACTTGCCAGTGGCAGTGGAAAATGTTTGTGCTTCTGAACTTTAGGTTGCCACAAGAAGGAATTTGAGTCTTCAGGCTCAGTGTCCCTCTGCAGCTTCCAACTTTGTATGTCAGCTGATGTCTTGACACGCTTACCTGGCAGGGAAAATTACGCCTGATGCTGCATGATTCCAGAATCTTCTGTTTTTTTGGCATCTCCTGGAGGAGATACCCCCTCCCACCTCCATTAAAATGGCTTGCTTTCCCAGTTTGCCCTATTGTGCCCTTTACTTAGCTACGGTTGACCACATGCCTTCTCAGTACCCTCTTCCCTCTTCTGCTTCCAGTTCCCGTGTAGAAGGAAGAACGTCATCTGTCTGCAGTTGCAAAGAAAAGCATGGTTTCCTTGCTGAGGGATGGAGCTGCTTATAGTGACAACCTATCTTCGGGCATCTCTGCCTCTGGTAGTCATCTGCTTGAGTTACGGCAGAGGCATGAATGCTGCTGCTGCTTATTTGCCAGGGAAGAGTGGCCCAGTTCCTCAGCAGTGCTGAGCGGCAGCTGTATTTTCTGCTCTCTTCATCAGAGAACCCAGATAACATCTGTCACCTGTGTAAACATAAGCCAATTCTTCATGCTGACAGGGGGAAAAGGAAGTACTTACCTACACACTTTCTTTAAACTAACAGTCAGTTTAACTTAAACTTGAGCTGATGAGCCAGTCTCTCTTAAGACATGAGTAAGGTGTCTACAGTTTGGCTAGGCAGGCGTGGAGAAGATCGCCTTTCTTTCTGGTATCTCTTTATTTTTAACAAATAAAAAGGAACTTTCTATCTCGTTTGTTCTTTCCCCTGCTTAACCCCTTCCTTCCCCTTTAGGTGTTTGGAGTTTTTGGAAGAACAGTGGGAGCAAATAAATCCACTATTCCTGACAGTGCTGGGGACTGACTCATGGGGAAAGAAACCATCCAAATGTAAATGCCACAGGCAGTGGCATGAAGTGGCTTTCTGAGGTGCTGCTGGTGATGTAGGTTTTGGACAATAAGCCATCTTCCTCTTGCTTTCCAATTCAACAGTACTGTAGCTTCTCTTGCGTTTACGGGGCACTGAATGAGCACTGTAATAAAGGTGCATCCTCTTCTGCTCCCCCCCCGCCCTCCTTAATTTGTGACTTGGTGGGAGACCTAAAACTACTACTCTAGCACTGTCAGTCACAGTGCCCTTCAGCTTAAGTTGGCCTTATGTTACTCCAGTTACTGCTTCTGTAATAGTCCAGAGTAGCATTACATTTCTGACTGGCAAATGCAGTGTAGTTCTCTGTTTCTGCTGCTGAACTGCATGCTGTGAGGTTACTTATTTCTCTCATTTCTTCAGCAGTCCTTTAGAAAAGCATCAAGAAGAATGTATTTTGGAGCAAGCTGCTGCTTCTGATGCTGCAGTAAAATGAAGACCAGAACTGGAGTGATTACTGAAACCCCAGCCAAAAAAAAAGTGCATTACTTGTTCATAACAACTCCTTTGAGTGACTGACTTGACTCTTGCACCTCAGATTGGACTTTTATAGTAGTGATGATTTGTAGAGTTGCCTCTGCGGCACCTGTGTTCTCCAAGGCCAGCAGAAGTGTTGATGCAGTACCACTTTGGGGCAGCAGAGCACGTGTGGCAAACAGGTTAGTCAGGCCGCTGCTGGTTCAGGTAACTCGTAAATGTGATACTCTTCTTTTCCAGCCTGTTAAGTTGCTGGGAATGCTAGTCCAGACCTTAACTGAAGTTATTTATTAGATGCTACAGGTCAACTTCTGCCTCCGAGCTTTCCTGCTTCCTATGACGTACCCTGTTTGTCTCATGTGGGATTCCCACCTGGCTCCACTGCCCCGGCTCCTGGTTTACAAGGGAAAGTCCTGAAACTGCAGTCCTGGATGTTTAGGGCTCTGTTGAGCATCTGGCAAGGATAGCCCCTGCTTTCTCAAGGGCATGTACTACATAAGGATAAGTTGATATGTATCAGTTACTCCATGAAGAACTATTTGTGCTCCTTTTTCTTGTGTTCTAGAGTGCTGCAATAAGTGGAATTAAGCTTTTTTTTTTTTCCTGAGAGATAGGTGACCTCAGACAACCTTGTGTTTACTGTGGAGCGGTGGACAGGTAGGAACTCACTGGTGTGTCTGTAGCAGGTGGCCTGCAGTGTGAGCAGGCCAGACAACATACTCGAGGGCTTGAATGTTGTACAGGCCTGCTCAAGGCACGAGATTTTTAGATTTTTATTCTTTTTTTTTTTTTCCCCTTTCTGTGAGAGAGATTGTTAGTATTTTCCATGTAGGTGTTGAGCCTGGCAATCTGGGTACATTGCTTCTGTGCAAGTGAGTTTTTCCATAGGTAAAATGCTACCAGTGTGAGTTAACGTACCCCTCCTTGAAGAAGGTGGAGAAGAAAAAACATTATTTCTAAGAAAGAACCTCAAAACTACCTTGAAGTCTATGAACATAGTTAAGTATGTACTTAATTTGCTAACAAATTATAGCAGTGGACATTCCTGTGCAACATGTGGGCATCTGCATCCTCAAATTAACCCTTAAAGCGTTGGCCATTGGGACTGACTCTTTAAGAGAAAAAGGGAAGTCAACTGAGAAACTTAATAGAAAAGCACTGTGGAGAAAGTTTTTCCTTTAGAACAATCATACAAATTTCTCCTAAAAATCCCACCCAAAATCTGCTTCACATCATCTAATATATCTTCAGGGAATTGCTTGAGACTTCCCCCCCCCCCCCAGCCCCCCCTTAAAGGACAGGCTGTCTGTTGGAGAGACATATGCATTGTTTCACCAAAGCTGTAGCTTTCTATCTTCAGACAAGAGGGAAGCACATTGTTTTGTGTCTTTGATATGATCCAGCCAGAAAACAGCCTTAGGGAAAAAAATCTGCAGTCCTTGGCAGCAGCACTGTCTTTCTGTCTTCTTTTTTTTTTTTTTTTTTGTCAGTGCCACAATGTACGCTGTTCTAATATCTTGAGATTAAACTTGCATGGGGCGTCTCAAAAGTCCTTCTTAAGACTTGAGGTCATAACTTGCTGAAAGTTCAGAGGGATGAGTCTCATTTTCGTAATGAAAAAAAAGTTCCAGGGTTATTTTAGAATTAGGTCTAATAAGAAACTGGTACAAGAAGCTACTTTAGTACAGTAATTTAGTGAGAGTGCAGCAAATTTGTAGCGGCTACTGAAAACTTTCCACCTTCCTGCTCAAGCAAGCTGAACCCTGCAAAGTTCAGATGTTGATTACAAAGGTGATGGTTCAGGTCTCTATAGACTGCTTATTTCAAATGCATGGTCTGGCTGTACCTTCCAGCGGAAAATGCTCAAGAAACTTCACGTATTATTTATTTTGGTTAGAATGAGCCCATTGTAGTTCGGCAAGTATCCTCACTGAGAAATGTCATGATTTACTCAAGGGCAGCTGCGTATTCTACTTACACGCTTTCCAGAGAGATTGAATATGCTTGTAATAGTCATACTGTGAGCTGGGTACCTCTTGTATCAAATAGACATAGTTTAACAATATTTTTGCGATTTATGCATATTACTGTATACTTCATTATAGTTTTGCAAGGTCATGCATTAACCTATAGGGAAGACGGCGGGAAGTGAACTGAAGTATTTTTAGTAACAGCAGGACAATAGAAGAGGGAAATGTGGGTTATTACTAATTCTTTAGCTTGCCCATTAATCTAATTTTTTGTATAGTAGTTTTTCCTCTTTCTGCTGTGTCTGAGTAAAATCTCTTCTTCCCCTTTCCTAAAATATTTATAGTTTTGGTATAAACATTATAATGTAGTTGCATTTGAAAATTCAGCTGAATGTAGTAAAAGATGCAACACTATTAAAGTGTTACTCAAAAGTGCCTAAAACTAAGAATAGTATATTATACTTGTATCTGATGGCGTCATACCATCTGAAGTGTTCATAATTTTGTGTTGGATTAAACTAATAGCCCATTTAACTTCTGCTGCATTTGTGGGTGGGGATAAATGTGAATTCTTCTATGGAAGAATTTAAAATACATCTGTGGTTTGAGGCTTATGATAAATTTAGCACACTACTGTAATCAGTCCATTTTGTGCCATGTCTCCATAGTCTCTCATTATTGGCTATAACTCCAGCAGAATGAATATCTGTATTCTCATGTGGGTTGGTGGTGGTGGTGGGGAACCCTTATTATCTTTTTTTGATTCTGAACTACTCTTGAAAAACAGCCAGCTCATACAAATAACATGATTGTGAATTTTTCTTTAAGGCTGAAGTTGTGGTTTGCTCTAAGCTATTTTTAAAATACATCTGTCTTAATGAGAAGTGCACATTCTTACATCAGCACCTTTGCTGCCTTCAGTAATGCACAAAGTAAGGCACAGGAGGGAGTGTGTGTATTTTCATCCTGAACTATAGTTTTTATTATGGTCTATCTGAGAATTTGTAATGGTTTTATTTACTTTTTTTTTAAACAAAACAAATATGCTACAAGGATGCTAAGCGGGAGACCACCCAAATACTAGAATGTGTTATCTGGGTGTTTGTATTAATCATAGGTTAACTAATAGGGAACTAGGAGCTTCAGTACAGTGCCAAAGCACTTCTGCAAATGAAGTGAAAGGGGGAGTGCCTGAAGTTGGTGCTTATAAGACTTCTAAGGCTAGTAGACCTTATGGCTAGAAGAAGGATCCAGTGATATTTTTTTTTTTTTTTTTTTTTTTTTGGTGCCTGCATTACCTTTACCAGTGGGTGGGAAAGAGGAATTGAGTTAGACCCTGCTCCTTATTCTTCTGTAATAATCTTGAATACTAAAGACTTGTGTTTTGGTCTTTAGACTCAACTGGTTCTTGGCTTTGGTCTTCTCTTCCTTTGCTGTGCCCATTTGGTGTAGGAAGTAGAAGAATCTCCAGTCCAGTGCTCTCTAAACCCATTAAATGGTTTTGGGTGGGTATAGGTAATTGATACCACCCATGGCATAAATAGGAGATAAGAGCATCCTATCTCCATGGCAGAGGCAGGAGCCAGTGTGCAGCTCTTCACTGCCCCTTCCTTTCCCACCTGTCTGGTTGTCTGCCCCAAGTCTTTTTATTATCCCCTTCCCTCCACTTTGAGTGCTTCAGTCCTGCTTGCCTAAATGAGTGCCTGTTTCTGGACATCCTTTGGTAGAATGGGGTGTGATTGGGACTTCAGGAATACAGCAGCAGCGTATACTTTGCCTCAAAACCCTCTACCTCTGATGTTAGTGATCCTCTCCATGCTTGGGTGCAAATGGACAGTGCTGGTAACAGCTCTTCCTGGCATCCTAGTGACTGTGACTGCTACCAAAATCCATCCGGTTCTCCCAAAAAATCCTGAAACCATGCAGGTGTGGGTATCAAAAGGCACATGGCAGACAAATACCCTAAAGCTGGATGTCAGGCATAGTTTTGCTTTTGTCACTTGCTTCACTTAGATTACATGGGATATGTATGAAGAGTGTTCAGAGTAAAGTGTAACCCTGTGATCATCTGTACCCCAGACAGGTGCAAGCTCGTCTAAAACCTGTGGAATAACCTTGATTCTCCAGCTGATCTTAAATTCATGTTGGTTTTTGACAGTGTTGTGACTTCACTTTGATTTTTAGCTGTAGCAGCCAGCTGGTGTCTCAAGTGCATGCATGTGATGCCAGGATCTATCAAGAATTGTGGGGTGCAGTGCTAGAACAATACAGGAAATGACTAGCCACGTTAATGCTCCTTAGCGGTTGGTTTTTGGTTTTTTTCCTAAGATCCTTTGAAAGAGGCAGGCCTGTTCAGTGGCTTGAGAAGTAGACTTGTGAGACTCTAAAGTAAAAGAAAATAAAATGTGGTTTTGTTCCTTGCCTTGTTCTGGGGAATTTGGGTCATTTAATACTCCAGAATTGCTGTGTCCCTTTAAGGTACTTGTAAACATTAAAGTTGACTTGTAAAAGGCGTTATCACTTAGTTCTACAAATAATTAATTATGTGTATTATGGGTTGCATAAATACAGCAGGAAATAAGGGGGAAAAATCTGTGGTGTTCAGTCATTGTTTTACTAGACTTCAAATTTTTTCTCATTACTTCATGAAATTCTTCTCTAATTCAATCTTTGTCTTTTGTCTTTGCTGCCTTGCAGGGTTGGTACAGTAGGCCTCACTAAACTTAGCTGCAACTAAGAATTTCTCCTACATCAACTGAGTTAAGGCTGATGCTCTTGTGGAATGTGGATTAAAAGTGCGTGCTAAGTTCCAAATTTCCATTTGAGAAGCGGAGAAAGTAAATGTACCACAACCACCAGCATCAGGACAGCAAACCAAGGGACAAAGAATTTGATCCACAGTGTTGATATATGTTAACTGGTTCACGTGTTGCTTAAAAGACGTTTGCTGGGGGGCGAGAAGTGGACGTCAGCTGTGCGAAGTCATTTTGTTTACAAAAATGAGGGCTTCTTTGGAAACAGCAGACATTGCCATTGTGGCACTGTACTTCGTGCTTGTAATGTGCATAGGTTTTTTTGCCATGTGGAAATACAATCGGAGCACCGTAAGTGGCTACTTTTTGGCAGGGCGTTCTATGACCTGGGTAGCTATTGGTGCATCTTTATTTGTGAGCAATATTGGAAGTGAACATTTCATTGGGCTCGCAGGATCTGGAGCGGCAAGTGGATTTGCAGTAGGTGCATGGGAATTCAACGCCTTAATGCTTTTGCAGCTTTTAGGATGGGTCTTCGTCCCAGTCTACATCCGGTCGGGAGTATACACCATGCCTGAATACTTGTCCAAGCGTTTTGGAGGGCATAGAATTCAAATATATTTTGCAGCATTGTCTCTAATTCTTTATATCTTCACCAAACTCTCAGTTGACTTGTATTCAGGGGCACTTTTTATCCAAGAATCGCTAGGTTGGAACCTCTATTTGTCAGTTATCCTCCTTATTGGAATGACTGCCCTGTTGACTGTGACTGGAGGTCTTGTGGCTGTCATCTACACAGACACCCTTCAAGCTCTGCTTATGATTGTTGGTGCCCTCACACTTATGATCATAAGTATTACGGAGGTTGGTGGGTTTGAAGAAGTTAAAAGAAGGTACATGTTGGCGTCGCCAAATATTACATCTATCTTGTTAACCTACAACATTTCCAATACCGATTCCTGCAATGTCGACCCAAAGCCTGATGCTCTTAAAATGTTGCGCGAGCCAACAGATGAAGATATTCCCTGGCCTGGATTTCTGTTGGGACAGACCCCAGCTTCTGTCTGGTACTGGTGTGCTGATCAAGTCATAGTTCAGAGAGTTTTAGCTGCAAAAAACATTGCTCATGCCAAAGGATCCACTCTGATGGCAGGCTTCTTAAAGCTGCTGCCGATGTTTATTATAGTTGTCCCAGGGATGATTTCACGAATACTGTTTGCAGATGATATCGCCTGCATTAATCCGGAACACTGTTTTCAAGTCTGCGGGAGCAGAGCTGGATGCTCTAACATCGCCTACCCACGTTTGGTGATGAAACTTGTGCCGGTTGGTCTGCGGGGACTGATGATGGCTGTGATGATTGCTGCACTGATGAGTGACTTGGACTCGATATTCAACAGTGCCAGCACCATATTCACACTTGACGTCTACAAACTCATTCGGAAGAG